GTCGAATCCCGGGGCTGATAGAAGAAATCCATTCTGGTGTGTCAGGAGGTCATCTCGGAGTTACAAAACCCGGGGAAACGTGAGGGAAAAATTTTACTGGGTCAATAGTAAGGAGGACGTAAAAGACTGGTGCATAAAATCCGTTGTGTGTTCGGCAAGTAATCGACCGCAAAGAAAGCCAAAAGCTTCGATGCGCCAATGCACCGTGGGGAGCCCCTTTGAAAGGATTGCTATTGATGTGACGGGACCCTTCCCAGAAAGTGAAGCAGTAATGGATTACTTCAGCAAGTGGGTTGAGGCATACTCGTACGCTCTGCCAAATCAGGAAGCCTCTACGGTAGCTGATGCTTTAGTAAAGGAATGGATCTATCGATTTGGTGTACCTTTGGAATTGCATTCGGACCAAGGGCCCAATTTCGTGTCAAGTCTGATCCAAAACATCTGTCAAATCCTTGGGATCAAAGAGACTGGGATAGTTTTCTTCCGCTCTTTTTATTGGCTTACCGATCATCGATTCATCAAAGCACAGGAGAGACCACGGTTCGAATAGCTATGGGAAGAGAACTTCGTCTCCCATGCGATCTAAAGTTTTTCTGTCCACCAGGAACTGATATTGCCGAAGAAGACTACGTAAGCGAGCTGCGTATAAGAATGGACCCCATCCATAGAAAGGGTCGTGTTTCAGTTCAAGGTGCCAGCGACCGGATGAAGGAAGCTTATGACGTTAATGCCAAAGACCAGAGGTATGACAACGGTGATACGGTTTAGCTTCACGACCCAAAGAGGCGAACAGATCTATCGCCTAAACTGCAATCATCTTGGGACGAGACATATAAAGTTCTGGAGGCCATCTACAGGATTCAGGAGGCACCACGCGGAAAAAGTACGAATTGTACATTTCAACCGACTTGCCCCTTGTCATGGAAACAACGAAGATGCAGCGGTGCGGCAAATCCAACCAGAACCGGACATGACATTTGACCAATTTATGGCCCACTTTGCTAATGGCTATAAGAGTCGGTATGGTGTGACATGTAAAGTACAACAAGATATGTTTACCACTTCACCAGAGTATGCCCTGGCATACTGTATGGCTCAAGACTTGCTAATGTCGAGAGGTATAGCAAGGGTCTTTCTCATTAAGTTTGCTGTGTCAATCTAACCCGGAAGTCGGAGAATTACTCCAGATAACTGAAGAGGGTACCAACCGAAAGATCTTCTATCTGGTTAGCAAGAAAGCTTCGTATGAGGAACCGGCTCGAGGATGTCTGGAACGCTTTGTGTTCTCTTAGAGAAGTGTTGCTTGCCGAGGACCTGATAAAACTGGCAGTACGTAAGCTGGCATGTGGACTGGACAACCTGGACAGGAAAATTATCCGAAGCATGCTTGAGGTAGTCTTCCGGTATACAGGCATTCGATTTCTGGTATGTTTTCATAGTTCTAGACGGCTACCTCCTGGAAAGAGTGTATTGTTACTCCTTCAAGAACTTCTACTGCAATAAAGAGCAGTCGTGCCGATATCAATATCCACCACCAATAAGATCATTCCTTGACGGAATGACTTTAGTGAGGGGGCAGTGTAACAAGAATGAATAGTACTGTTGGCGCCATCTGCTGGGGACCGCGGCAGACTCTCCTACTTGTCAGAGCTTCATGGCCGATCTCTTTTGGGGACCGTGCCAGAGATTCTTATTCGCTGGCGATATCTGTTGGGGCCGCGAGACTCTCCTTAGGTGGCGACTGTAATGAGCAAGGTAAATTAAAACATAACTGTAACGTAAAACGTTTCGAGTAAAGTTATTAAAACTAACTAAGCCGTACAAAAAAAAGTATAAATATAATATGAATACAAGTAATTCGATCCTTGCAAAAATCCTCAATGGGATATTTGTGCCTATTTGTTGGAACAATGAAATTCAAAATTTGGTTCAATGTCTGAAAGCTTAAGTTAGAGATCGGGTTCTGCATTTAATCTATTTCTATACTTATTTTTCAGGTAAGTCTATGTTGAAAATCATTTCTCACACAGATACGTTGTGCAGAAAGTTATCAAAATGTTCATTGCTTTTTCTGCTAAGATAGGGTATTCATTTTTTACATTGAGCCAGAAGTCTATTGAAGAATGATCTGCAAAAACAGCTTTAACAGAATTGTCAGAGGAAGAATAAATGAGCTTTTCTTTTTCCAATAAAGATAAAGAAGTGTTAGAAATTATATCTCCTTCAAGAGGATTGCGTTCCAGTTGTTTGATCCAGGTTTATTGGGAAAATACTCTTTGAACGTTAATTGAAACTGCTTGAGATGTTCAGTAATATCTCTTTTAATGCTTTCGTTAAGTTGAATTTTATTATCTGATAAAAAACTGTTGAGAGAACCAAAACAATCGTACTCATTCATCTGCAGACATTGATTCCAAAAGTTGAAAATCTTTAGCATGGCTTCTATTCTATCATGAACATTGAAAATGGTGATTCCTGGACCGTGTAAAGACATATTTAGTTAATTTAATTTAGAAAAAATATCGGCAATTATGCATGTTTTTGGAGAATGTTGGATACAGAAGCGGACAAATGAACTGGATGGTCAAGAAAAAATGCCTGAACTTCAGACTTCAATTCGAACAAGCGGGTCAAAACTTTGTCATGGGAAAGCCAACTAACTTCTGTATGAAGTAATAAAGGGACTGGAGACTTCCCAAGTCCTCACAAAGTTCACGACGTAGACGAGAATTAGTAGCACGGGACTTTATAAAATTGACAACTTTTATAGCTTCGCTTAAAGTACTGGCTAACTCTGCAAGAATACGCTTACGTGCCAATGATTGCCTAAACAGTGAGTCCATTCTATATTTTCGCTGATCTTTTTTATTCGTGCCAGAATATGTTACCGTCATTGATTTAGCACCATCTGTGCATACAACTAAGCAAAATGACCAGTTGATTTCACGTTTTTCAAAATAGTCATTGATCAGGTTAAAAATTGCTGCAACAGTCGTATAAGTTTCCAGTAGTTTTGCAAATATACAATCTTTTTGAATGGAATTCTTAAAAATATATCTAACATACACGAGCAATATTGCACAGTTTGCTACAACTGGTCAAGCTGAATAGCAAAATAATTCAATTTTAAACTTTTCAAATGTTCACTTTCAACACTATTCGCCAAATCGTTAATTCTCCGTGACACTGTTCTGTTTGATAAGTATACAAAATCATTTTTTGCCGCTTTTTATCCAAGCATACACATTGCGATGTCTTTAGCATCTTCCGAAAAAGCGGCCGGCACGCCACTTTCTGACTCTCCTTCAGAACCCTGAACGTGACCTTCTGTCGGCGTCCCGCCGACAATGCACCTTTTAATTTGTGTCTGATGAGCTGTTTCTTTGTCGTTTCTTATACTTGCGATCCTCGACATTGCTGAAAACGTAAAAATGGGTGCGTGAACGAGTAGTAAAACGTTCAGCGCGCGGCACGAGAACAAGGAATGAGTTTGTAGGCCAGGGGTCAGGCCGGAAAGTGGGAAGGTGGAAAGGCGCGGTGAGCCGGTTTTCTTCACTGCGTTCGCGCTTTGAACTCGTGAGTTCGACTAAAAAGGAGGTACTACAGTATTATATTTACGAGGCGAGGCCGGAACATAATTTACTCATAAGCTAAAGCTAAATAGCTTTACAAAATAAAGGAAATCAGACCATATAATTCGTATAGTTTTGGAACTTAGTACAGTGATTCTTTAGACAGTTCACCACACTGAACCTTTCCATCTGAGGAGGCGGGCCGGTGGTAGAATACCGTTTCGTAGTTACTTTTTTGGATATTGTAAATTATTAATAATACCGTTATAATCACTCCTACATTGAAGTTACTAAGAATTATGTTATGCAAATTTTTACAATCCCTACTACACCCTTCTTTCATTACTGTTCCGTTTTCATGGCAAGACGACTGAACCGATTTTCATGAGTTTGAGCATATAAATAGATTAGACATTGGAGACGGACAAATCCTACTTTTTGTTGTACAAATTAGACATGAAGGAATGTAAATAAGTTGAGAAAGCTACTCTTTGATACAGTATAAGTGGGCACTCTACCCACTACGGGGAGGTAAAGTGAGAATTCCCACTTTTCAGTTTTTTATAGAGAATTTAGAATATATCAAATAAATCTAGCCGCGAAGTGGAACTATGCTTACTCTTCAATTTTATCTTAAAGATAACCATTATTTACAAATATTTTTAGAAATTCTCAAGATAGGGCAGAAGGGGGTTGAATACTTCCATGGGTAATCACTTTTCATGTTTATCAAAATTCATCTCGAACACTATTTGGCCTTTGAGCATTCAATTTGGCAAAGAGGTAGTTTATGGACAGCACGTATCAGCTGAAAACTAATTTTTGCCACAGGTCTGGATCAAGGACGGGTTATGGGAAGATATATAAATACGAAAAGATTCTCGCTCATTAGTCACGAAATCTCGAAAACTATTTAACATATGAACATTAAATTTTGGAGAGAAGAACATGTCAGCTGAGAACATATTTTAAAACTGGGCTAAGGTGGCTAACGGCAGATATATATATATATATCTAAAAAGGACAGTGATACACATTAATCAAGGATTAACGGAAACATATATACAAATGTGAATTTTAGCATTGAAGTAGCTCATGGAAAGGATAAGTCAAGATTTTGAGACAGTGCCGGATTAAAGAACACCTGCAAGGTTGTTTTAAATTGCTTGAATTTTTCTAATATCTAAAAATTATCAACGATGAGGTTCTCTTTAGAGTAGGCTTAAACTAAGAATGGATTGTGTAATGGAGAGTTAGCTCTTACAATGTAAAATTCAGTTTAATTTGCTAATCTAAAAAAATTGGTAATAATAATTTGCTAGCTCCATTAATAAAGTAACGAATTTCCCGAGTACGCAAGTTGTACGTGGTTGACAGCATTGTGGCATTCAAGCAAAAATATTCCAAATCGTTCTCCTTATATTCTAGCCAATGGCATGGCATTTGAAATAGCCTTCCAAGAAGAAGACGATAGCGTTATAAAAAAGCATCCTCCAAAACACATACAGGAACGGCTAGAAAGTGAAAGATCAAGTAGCACAGTGACTTTAGAAAAACTCCAAGAGAAGTTAGAGGAGGCAGAGATTAGAAGAAATCAGGTACGTTTTATATCTCTACCTGAATTACATCACAAAACTTAGCAATTTAAAAATTCCAGAAAAACGGTATCCTTAGTATCTAAAAAATTGCAACTCAGATGACAGAAACCGTTGTTGTTAAGCCAAATACAGAATTCGTACGACGTATTAACCATCTGTGACTTTTACAAGCTATGCCGCAGGGTTATTACGTAAAAAATGTGAAAAAACGATAAAATGTCAACTTGTTGAATAAGTAGGCTAGTGCGCAAATAGTTCATCTGTGCTTGCAAGCAAACGATGTCTAGTTTCAATGTCAAAAAACGACATAATGTCACTTTTCAGGTTACGTAATACCCCTGCAGGTTTCCTACTTTAGGTTCTGCGGCACCGGTGAAATTCATTTGTTTTTGGTTTGTTTCACGCCGAGATACACTGCTGCAGTGGTAGAAGTCGCGAGATTTTGTGAGAACTAAATACGTTGATACTCATACACGACTTGTTTTTGTGGCATCTATGCCTACCTCTGAGTTCTGTGTTTATTTCTAAATTCTCAAAATACCAAAATGGACGTTACGCTATTTCCTGATATGTGGCGCTGTAGCGCGTGACTTAAATAGCTGCATAAATATGTGCTATTGATTTGCGTATTCCACCTCAAGATAGCCATATACTATATAATCTAATTTAAAAAGGTCAGTGTCTCATAAATGGCGATGCAGCGATATGCTCCTATACAGGGTGTTCTAACGAAAATGGTAAATAGAGTTATGAGCAAACGGGGAAAGGTATCAAAAGTCTGTTTTCGTGGTAACCTAAATATGTTGCTGGTGCACATTTTAAGATTATCTCGTTACAGGGTGTTCCGTAACTTGGTGCCACGAAGTTATGGAACAGCCTGTATAGATTAACACGATTCAGTATGTGTACTTGCAACATATCAAGGTTATCACGAAAACATATTGTAATAATAATAATAATAAATTAAACCTTAAGCAAAGTAATGATGGAAAGGAGATAAAATCATACATGCAGTTGACAGAGGAATGGTTAACAAAGCCCCTACATGCCAAATTCCCAACATCAATTAAAGGAGAGGGGATAAACAATGGTGGATGGTAAAGACCAGTGGGCAGTAGCGGACAAGGTCGGAGGGAACTTCACAAAATATGAGCTGCTTGCGTCGCCTTCAAAATTCACGATGCAAAATAAACACTAGAGAGAGAAGGTTAGTAATCTTCTCTCTATTCTCTTTTTGAGACAAAACTACTCATTAAAACACTCTCATCTTTAAAATCCATGTACATTTTTGTAAAAATGTGTAAAAGCAAAACAAATACAAAAAAGAAAAATGTACTAAAGTAATACACCCTCAAACAATTATCCTTGTTCTAAAAAAGTTGTGACTACTCAAAAATCAAAATCATGATCAATGCAATTGAGCAGGCTCAATAGAATGGGCCAATGTAGGCACTGCCCCACATTTGAACATGAAAAATGCCAAACAAAATCAAGAATTTTAGTCAACAATAAATCTCTTAAGAGAAAACGGTGGTTTCTCATCGAAATCGGCTACAAACCGTCTACGAGACAGTTACAAAAAAAAGAAAGAGAGGATTTTAAAATCCCATAAAAATGGAGAGAGTAGTATCCAAACCAAAACAAACTACTGAAAGTTAGGTAGGTACAAGAAACTTCACAAACTGGTGATTGGGGCTCAACATCCCAAAATCTGGAAATCAAATGAAGGGCCGATAATACATCTTTTCAACCAAGGATTCAGCAGAAAAAAATTACCGACACAAAATTTCGGGTCTTCGGTCAGTCGGTCAGTGGACAGTCACTCAATGTCAAACGTAGGAGGGCGCTGGTTGACTATGAGCGGATTCTGGAAAAGCAACTTTACGAAGGACCAACGATATTTTATGAGGAAATTTCAACACAATACTGATATCTACCAAAAGAAAATAATTGAAAAGGGTTTGGCCTAGGAATCGGTACTCTATCATAAATAAAGATAAATTCAAATTACTGGTTAGTGATCAAAGTAGTAAAAAAAGGCACGTTACACACTTCAAAATATATATTCAGGTCACAGTTGAAATTTTGTTATAAATAAAAATCTCTCTGCAGCTGCCCTTTATTAAAAACTAGCCTCAAAATGGTTTTCTGCGATAAAAATACCCTTTCACTGTGTCTTGACCTGCCCCAAATCATTATTTTGTTTGAAAAATGTGAATATGTTAGAGTGTAATGAATAGGTAGCAGCTCATTGTGTACTAGCATTGTTTGTAACTGGATATCTTTCTCACTTTTGCTATTAAACTACTTACCATTTCCATTAGGACACTATGTAGCCTCCATTTTTGCTCCGATCCTAGACCTAATCTCTATCTCCGACACCCTCATTTTGACCACGCAAAGGTGTTCGGTACGGGTATTTTGTAAAAAACCTATAATACGTCAAGAAAAACCTATGAAATGTAATTTTGCAGACTAGGTAGTTTTTAGGATGCAGACGGTAATTCCACGTTTGCTCATTACGATCGTTGTGAGCGTCAATCTATGGAGGAATAGCTCAACTACACGCGTTACTGGTTGCATATGTTTTTTGAAGCCGAGTAGCCTATGGTCTTCATATCTAAGAAGAAACTTTGTTGAATAGCAAGATCGCATCTGGATGATTATGTGTATTGTCCTCCATGTGTATAAAATCAGTGATATTTGTTGTGTGAGAAAATCATTACTGAATATGCTGCTAATGAAGTTTATCTATCAGCTGTGCCCGACGGGTTATTCATATAGCAAATTATCATTTATATGCTGTCCTTGCTGAGTATAGGTTATGTTCAAAGTTATAAATTACCATTTCTTACGTTTTCGAAAACTTTGAGGAAATGACTACCGTGCCCGCGTTGTGATGACTTGTAATTCGACAGTGTACAGTATCTACAAAAAATTGAAGAGTTTATAAGGAGTCAAACAAACTACTCCTAGTACATCCTTTGGTTTATTTTATTAACGTATATTATTTGTTTCCATTTTATTCCATACAACACATTTTTTATCCATCTTTTTTAATCTTTTTATTTCATACTTTTTGATACTATTTCTTGTTGCTTGTTTTTTATATCCTTGTATGTTGTTTTATTATGTCTCTGTTATGCGAATTTGATGTCATTGAGGAGCATAATATAATGATAGGGTGCCTCAATGTTAGCTCGCTAATTAGCTCTTTTCATGATGTGACGGACTATGCCATCATTCAAAACTTTGACATAGTTGGATTCACAGAAACTTGGCTCAAACCGCACGTTGTTGAAAGTAATGTACAAATTCCGGGATACCAGCTTTTTAGGCATGACAGAGTTGATAGGCGAGGCGGGGGTATTGCTTTATATGTCAGAGTTGGCTTACGATGCGCAATGCTCAAGAACTTGCATGCAGACGTGAACAGTGGTTTTGAGCAACTTTGGGTAAATGTATCTGTCAAGGTTGGAGTAGTTTATAAACCCCCTAATGTCAGCTATAGAACTCTGTCGGAGATGGAAGAAATGCTGACATCTATATTTCCAACATCAGAGGGCTTAGTATACATGGGCGACTTAAATATTAACTTCTTTGATTGTAGTAGTCCTGAATGTGTCTTTGTTTCTAACATTTTTGAAGATTTGAATGTGCAGCAAATATGTTAGTTGATCATGAAACCAGGGTCACGAATAACAGTAGTACCTTAACAGACGTCGTTTTCGTTAATGATGAAGTTAAGATTGCTAATAAAGGAGTTGTGAATCTTCCTGCGGTGTCCGATAACCATCTAGTTTATTTTTGTGTTGAATGTGAACCAGCCGAGGCACAAAATATGTACAAACCCATGATTTAAGGAATATTGATGAGTCTCTTTTGAATGAGGTATCGTCTAATATGCACTGGTTAGGTGTTATCGACTATGATGACATTGAATCAAAACTGCAACATTTTTACAGCCTTATTGATGATCTGCTAAATATATGCGCACTAATCAGGACCAGGAAGATATCGAAAGCATGTTGTCCCTGGATTACCCACAATATCAAATTCATGATGCGGTTACGCAATAATGCCTATTCTAAGTTTAAGAAAACTGATAAGAACAATTTTTCTGACGAGATAAAAACTGCCAAATGGATCTACTATAAGCAATTAAGGAATCTAGTCACAGCATCTATTAGGCGCGAAAAAAAAGCACATATTGAATACCAGCTAAGAAAAAACAACAGCTCTCGGAGCTGGTGGAAAGCTATAAAGGAGCTGGGATTCATGGATCTAAGGGTAAAAATAATCAGTGTACTTTGGAACCCAACTTTTTAAATAACTGTTTTGTTGATTCAGTTCCCGATAACTCAATAAATGAAACACTCTTAGAGTACTATAACACCAACGTGTTACCAAATATCAATGACCTATTTCAGTTTAGATATAGATACGTTTTCCTATATTCTTCCTTTTTGTCTCAAGGCTCTTACTCATATTATAAACTTTTCTTTGGAACATGGTATCGTACCTCTCATATGGAAAGCTGCAACTGTTATTTTCGTTGGTAAAATCGATAATCCCCAATTGCCTTGCGATTTCAGGCCTATAAGCATACTTTCACTCTTGTCAAAAATTCTAGAAAAGATCGTTTAAGAGAAAGTGCTAACACACATCAATAAATACAGCTTAATTCCAAATACACAGTCGGGATTTAGAAAAAATCATAGTACTGTGACTGCTTTAGTTGACATTTTGTGATGACTACTTGAGAGCTATAGATAATTCCTGCGTAACTACAACTGTTCTGCTGGATTTGAGAAGGGCATTTGACTGTTTAAACCATAAAATGTTATTAGGTAAGTGGCACTTTCTTGGTTTTTCTGAGAACTCGATTGCAAACGGGTCATTGTAAAGGGGGGTGGCGCAAGGTTCCATTTTAGGACCAATGTTATTTACTTTCTACATGTCAGACTTGGATCGGTCGGTCAAACATTGCGCCTTACATTCTTATGCTGATGATACCCAGCTTTATCTATCGTATGATCCCTCATCATATGTTGATGCCCATAAAAAACTAGCAGTAGATTTAAGCGGCGTTTGCGATTGGTTTAGATACCACGGGTTACACATAAACTGTAGCAAATCGGCCATAGTTACCTTCCGCTCTAAGAAGAACGAGTTCAGTGGAGATTCTATAAAGCTATGACTCAATAGTGAAGAGCTTACACACAAAATATCGGTATTAAACTTAGGAATAACTTTTGACCAGCACTTAACTTCTCATGATCATATTTCTAAGGTTGTACAGAGCTCTTTTGCTAAACTAAAAAGCATCTACAGCTTTAAGCACGTGTTGTCTCAAGATACTAAAATTAAGCTTTGCGATTCAGTCATTTTAAGTAAGATAGAATATGGAAGTTCCGTGTTTGGTTCTTGTTTGACTCAAGCCAAAGCTTACAGACTTCAGAAAGTGCAAAGCAGCTGTATTAGATATTCTGTTGGAATCCGAAGAAGGGAGCGAGTGTCTCCATTTATTCAAGAAATGAATTGGTTGACGATGAGGCAGAGGTGGTTGGTTCATAGCATTTTACTGACCAAATACCCTATATATTTAAATAATAAATTATCCTTGAGAAGTCAACATCATGCATCCAACCTCCGATTCATTGGTTACACCCTTAACACGCCCTATCATAGAACCACCCTATTTACTAAGAGTTTCTCTTTTGTTGCACCCTATCGCTATAGTATGCTCCCTGCCAGGTTTAAAGATTTATCTGTTCCACTTTTTAGGTCCAAAGTAAAAAAAATGTTTTTGAAAATATATCATAATTCCTTATATTATTTAGTTTTTTAACTTTTGTAATGGTGTATCTGTTATCTGTGACTATATCTGATTTTTTTAATTAAATAAAATGCCTATTCTTGTTATAATAGATTTTTCATTATTGTTATTCAACATTGTTTATATCTCCCCAATTTTGTTTGGTCCTGGTTGGTATGAAAAGCAGCTTTTAGCTGACACCCGCCAGGTTAAATCAAGGCTATTATTATTATTATTATTATTATTATTATTATTATTAATATAATTATTTCTTCTCTCTCTCATTTTTGAAATTCAGCAAATTTGCATATGTAAATTCCAGAATGAATAAGATAAAGTGGATGCGCAACTAATTTCTAGCTTTGAATATCATCAACACATATTATTAGCACACAGATCCTCACTATGCACCTATGAATTGCCGTTTCCTTTTAGCTACAGTATACTACTTACAGCTTAGATCTCCAGTAATGCCATCTCTGAAGCAGATTTTACATCACATCCGAGCCAAACATTGATAACTGAAGCCTCATGACGTTTAGGCAACACGTACAACAACAAAACGAGTTCACAAAGTGTCCATCGGCTAGTGCTAAGTTAACATCTTGTAGAAAAATCTACATAATGTCACAAAAAGCCAATACAAGGTCAAAAAAATCGACATAATGTCACTTTTCAAGATAAAGTTGGTGAATGTGGAATACTTTTCATTTAAAGCCTATAATTTCATACTAATTTGAGGTATTCAAATAAATTAAGTAGTTCTGATATCTGTGAAGTTCTGTCAAATCGCTGGAGTCATTTAGGTCGCATATTTTGAGTCCATGCATTTGCAAAAATTAAATTATGCGAAGTGTGTAATATGTAGCCATTTAAAATTAGTATGGTAATGTGGAATGCTACTGAATAGTAGAATAACATATTATTTTCTGACCAATTGTGTCCTGTTATTTCTTTGGAAGGCATTTTGTGAAATAAAAAGTGACATATAGTCCAAAACATAAACAAATTCAATATCCTTAATCAGTAGGCCCGGTAATGAGGAACACTCGTATGGTTGATATTTTGCAATATTCCACAATACCATTCCACCCTCACTTAATCTCAAGTTTATAGCTAAAATCTATAAACATAGATTTGATAATTAATTCACATATAATTTGATAATGCATATATCTGAGGTTTAACATCAAATAATAATTAGAACAAAGTTGTACTTTTCCTAGAAATACAAAAAATGGCAGCCAGTCCAATGTTTCAATATTCACGTTTACCGGTTTCACCAACGTTTTTGAGGTTATGAGCCTTAATCAATACAACAGTTTATATCAGATAGTTACGCTACTGATACAAGAGTAAATAATGCTATCTAAGTGCAGGTGTCGCTACCTGCCTATTCCACATTCACCAACTTTACTCTACGTAATACCTGTGCCGTTATGTTGATGACACCGCTCTGGTGGCTAATTCAATACACGCCCAAGAGGTTGTAGACTGCCTTCAGGAGGCGGCGTGTCAGCTGAAGGAATGCTTCGTTTAAACTCATTAACAAGAGTTCCAAATATTTCTAAGCTTGACATACTCGTATATCTATTACCTAACCTAAGAAGACCATAATTTGTTTCATGAAAGGGGACAAAGAAAGTATCAGTATGGCGCATTCTTCTATCATTCACATGTAGTAAAATTTTTTCTAATAGTTGAGGACAATCAATGTGACCATTGATAATTTTGTCCAAAAAAGTAAGTCAAATTCCAACCTGTATCACTCAAGAGAAGACATATTCATCTAGAGAAGAGTATCAGTATAACTATTTATACTCTTCCCCTATGAAACCCATTTTATATTCAACTCCCAAATCTACCCTTGATCTGAGAACGAGACCGACTAAACATAATTTTAAAACATTTCGCATCATCTTAAAGTAAAATATTAATTCCACCCAAACGAGAAATATGGTATGATATAAGTCTCTATGCAGCAATTCTGCATCATGTTTTTTCCCAATAACTCTAAAAATATTAACATCATCCGCAAATAAAAGAATTTCTCTATGTACTAAACTCACAAGATCATTAATAAATAACAACAGACATAAGTGGGAACCCTGCAGCCTCCAGAAGTTACACGAATACTACGAGATGTGCACCCACCATATGTGTATTTCCATATGAGATCTATCTCATAAATAACTACGAGTACTTATCCAATTCACTAGCTGACCATGTCGGATGCTTTAGGCCTGTATCGTCAGTCGTCGCTACAATTGTAGGGCGCGTTTATGGCCTCCTTGATTGTCATACTCCTTTCTCTCCTTCCAAAGTTTCTAGATTACTCTTGTCCCGTGTCAGCGTCAGCGCTCTCCTATTGTGAAGATATGTTTTCTTTTTAAATTGTAGGAAATTTCAGGCTGACAAAACATGATATAACTCAAAAGCAAGCACAATTTGATGCAAATAGATGTTTGTGACATAACCTCAAAATAGAGTTCTGACACGGAGAAGTAGAAAACTATGACAATCAAGGAGGCCATAAAGGCGCCCTACAATTGTAGGGACGACTGACGATACGGGCCTAAGAGAAATCCAAATAACCCTCCTCAATTGAATTGCACAAATAGTTACTGTATAACATCAAGTTGGTACAACTTGAGTTACCCTGATGAAAACTATGCTGCTGATCGACAATAAGGCTTTTAAATTCATTTTGTGATGTCTATTCATCAAGAAATCCATTAATTTCGGGATAGACGACGGACAGTTGAGGGTATTTGATCAAATTATACCATGGCAATTGGAGGTAAAGTATTTTTGTTGATAATTGACAGGATAATAACCTGGAAACCCTATGTTCTGTCCAACGGTAGTACACACATGTCGACGTACACTACCATTCAAAAGTATTTGAAAACCTGCATATTTCCATGTAAATTATCAGAGCTCGAAATCAAATACAATAATTATTCGAATGTAAAATTTTTTAGAATGAAGTAGACAATTTTGGTGGAGGTGCAGTCGTTTGCACACATGCCTCAGTTCCTGGCATGCCGATAATATATCAGAAACTCAAACATAAACAGGCGCAGCAGGAAAGAGAAGCATTAATGGTCTTCTAAAGTATATCACTAACTTCACACCTTTTTATTCCTGGGAGAATAAATGCACGAGGAAGCTATAAAGACGAAAGTTATATGTCTCTATACACCGGTTCATTTTATCCATTGAAAATATCTTCCAAGAATCGAAACAATGGCTTTATCCAACAGCACGTGGAGGCACTTAGTCAGGTCAATCAAATAATCCAGACCTTTCAGTAAAGCTTATTTTTACTTGGATCGGGAGTCGATGGATCCGTGGGCTACGTTGCAATGATACTGTCCTTTCCAAAATAATTATAGAACAATTAATCACAAACTTGATCTACTAAAGCTCCACTGCAAAATGTTGAAATTATCCCATATTTTATTAATTAAATATTTAGCTAGGAGGCTGTTTCCTAGTTTGGGATTGCACCGCTCGGTATCAGCAAATTAGAATCCGATATTGTTGTGCTAAGCGTTCTGCATGCCCCTCGATTTGCAAAGAGGTTATCTCAAAATGTTACGTCGCATGTAGGAGTATTCTTAATACCTTTCGTATGTTTGTTTCATCGTGTGCATAGAGATGACTGAAAAACAATGTTATTAGTTTCTTTTTTTTGTCAAAAATACATTTTTTATGCATTGGTCATGCATTTTTCTTACAATCGTAACTTGTTAACAAATAATAGATTGTCTAAGATTGTATGTGAATATTCCACTTTTATGAAAGAATGTAGCTGCTTTTTCTTTTCACCTTCTCTCTTCAGAAAATCTTTGCATTATATTTGCTGCAAAATTAGGTTTCAAGAGTAATCAAAGATTTTTCGAACAGATTAAGTGATAAGAACATAAGTAATCACCCGCCAAATTCTACTATAAAAGTGGAATTTTGAGATACAATTTAAGATATGTACTAATATTTGTTAGCAGGTTACGATTGGAGCAAAAATACACAATAAAGTGCACAAAAATGCATTTTTGACGAAAATCAAGTTGTTAACATTGTTTTTTAGTCACCTCTATACACACCATGAAATAATCAGATGAAAAGGATTTAGAATACTGCTCCAAATAGGCAGTTAAAAAACATAGACATGTGACCTTGAGTCCCGATTTTACTAACAAAACTCTTGAGCGAAAGAAGGCATCTTTCTAGTAGTCCAATTAATATGAATGATTTTTTAGAAAATATATCTCAAAACCAGCGAAAAAACTTTCGATTTATGTAAGAAGGGCTTCTAATCCCTATATTAAATTTAGAAATTATTTATGAATCAATTACGTGGTTTATCTACAGAAAGATATTTTTCAGTTGATCCGGGATTGAAACATATGATCCGGATCAACAATGACCAATTAGAAAGTTCCGTACGAAAGCTGCGTACAACTGCATCGGAAATTGACAAATTGAAGACTAGTCCTTAAACCCTGCCCGAATCGTAGATCAAACCTGATATAATGCCTAGATTGATTTGATATCAATTATTGAGAACATTATTAAAAAGAACAGTGTATTACTACTTACCTAAGAGAACAATTTTAGAAAGGAGGATATATTTCTAAAAATTCGCATCCTCTTTGCGCCATAAAGTAAGCAAAGTATTGGCAATCATGTTTTCGATAAGAGTATTTCAGTATGCATATAACGTACAGGTATATACGTTTCTTGGGGAAAAAGAAGAACTCAGGAAAATCTTTATTACACTTGAAACCACCTTAAAACTAGGACTGCCTTTCATCAGCTGAGCTATCCACTTAGAGAACTGTCCAGTGCTACCACTTCCTGTTCAACAAAAAGCGGTAAGGCTGGAATCGCGGTAGATCCACGAAATAAATAGTATATTGGTCGTATTACACTCCATTTCGACTCTTTTAATTGAATTAAAAAATAAATGTTATTAGGTTCAACTACTTGTGTTAAAATAACAAACATTTGTGTGTTAATACATATTATTTATGTTTACTGTTATCAGCTTCGCAGCACTACTGAGTCAACTGTCAAGAGTAGATGAGAAACGAATACTAGAGATGGGACTGGGAGGATGCGTTCGCAAATATTCGCAATTGATTAGGGTGATTCAACGGCATGAGCAATAACATGTTAGTCAATTTACACTGGGACTTGCTAACTTAAATTGTTACAAGCATCAAAGAGATATCTGGCTCTTGTATGTTGATCGAAAAATGACATATCGCTCCTCGGTGAGGCTTGGTGGGAAATACTTGGCGTCTTATTTAAATTTGCTTACATAGGGAGTGATTTCAAGTTCTGCTACTATCAGTGCGAGCTTATTTTGAATGTGATACTGAGTTGTCCTTTTTTGTGGTGAATTCTATTTAAAGTAGTAGTTTTTAATACAGTAAGTAGGTTGTAAGTTTCATCCGGATTTAAGGTAGTGGTTTTTAATCCAGTAAGAGGCTAGGTAGTAAGTTTAATCCAGTTTCATCCGGATAGTTTCGGTATCAGATTATTATAAGTAATGTAGTCTGTAAGTAGACCCACTATTTTCTGCGGCGTTGACATTGATATTTTACTATAATTCTGGAATGAATTCATACTCATCAAAATTGGACCAAGACGTGGAAGTTGTCGAACATTGTCGTGCTAGGAGGCCCAGAATCGTTATTATCGGAATCTGAATTCTAGCCAGCTGTAGCCGACAAATAAGCACAAGAAAGAAAAATTTCCATTTTACGATGTACAGACAGAGCTTTTTTTTTGTTGTATAATTTCTTATCTGGTTTCTACCATATTTTCTAAAATTGTATAAAGCAAAGGCAACAGTATATATTCGTATACATCAGAAACGGTATTTAAAATAACTGTAACCGTCAAACGTCTCTATTTAGGTACAGCAGCAAATACATGTGATAATGGCAGATAATTATGGAACTTTTGTTAAAATCTACACCTAATTAACAACCGTTCATGTCTAAAAAAAAACATTGAAAGTACATTTCTTGCAATTTGCTTAACGTTGAACATTCTATAATTTTGAATACATTTGTTTCAGATACTAGCCCAAAGAGTTCAGTCTGCCAAGAATAGAACAGAGAAGATGATGGCCAGATTCACACAAGATGAAAACTATCTCAGTATTCCTCCAGAGAAGTTACCAGGTCCACCAAATATATAGCATAGTAATAGTCTTAGATAAAATAATAGATACTACCGTAACCACTAATTAACGTAATGAAAAGTAAGTAGTACGATATTCAGAGTGAAAGTCCTATTTCTCTCTCTTGACCACCTCTGACCTGGATGTGACCTTTGTTCTGCTTTTCAGTAAAGCCAAGTACAACTATTATAGATAAGTAAAGATGTCTTCTTGGCTGTGTGAGAAGACCACGCCATGTTCGCTAATTATGAGTTGCGAGCTTCCATAGTAGTAGCACAGGGTGGGACTTAAAAGGTATCAGTGTGCATGCCTTGAAAATATTTTTCCATCAACAAACGTATAATTTACGTACCATCCCAGATTCCAGTCCAAGGGGTTACAAGACTGCTCCAGAACCAAATCGTTGTCCCCAATAATTATATTCACAAATGGCTGGATTAATCCCATTCAACTGGTAGTATAACTAGCGAGTATGAATTCACCTCATACTATGCCAACGAGGGCGTATATTTGGCTAAGACCTTAAAGTATTTAAAGCCGGGTTCGTAGGGTATTAAGATTAGGAAAACTGACAATTCTCTTTTGGTGATAAACTAAATCATGTAATCTCACATGTGGGCCCTAAAAGCTATTTATTTACCTAAATTTACAGGTTTTACAATATCTTCTATTTTCGTAAACTTAAAAAATTCGCCTACTCAAAGTGTAATTTTTTAACTTCATGAAGCTATTCATAACTTGGCACCCAACATCAACTCTTAGGACTCTATCCGGAAGATTACACGATTTGGTTTGATTTCAAAATAGAATTTTCAGTTTTTACTGAACCCAATGCCCTGCAATCCCGGCCTTAATATATTGTCTTTTTCACGAGTATCCATTACGGTAAAATAACAGCTGATTAGCTGATAATATTTCAAAATCCACCATAGTGACACACAGTTCTGTCGGATCTGTCAACGCCAGATAGACAAAAACAAACGCTACAAACAAAATGGTTAGTAGTGATCATGACTACTACAAACCAAGTAGGCATAAAATGAGATAAATGGCTTTTCACTTTGTTAATCATGTCTACTTTTTAGAACCTGAAACAGCATATGGTTTTAATTGGGAATTAAACAGCCACATATGAATTACGTTACACCGACTATTAATCAAAAATACGTGACTATATTATTTTTACATGTAAAATTACAACTACTAGAAAGGACAACAGTCTGTTCTATTGACTTACCTCGTTATCAATAAATCCCAGATGTACTATAATTATTTTCTAATAAATATTTTGCTATGTGTACTTCGTATATTTTATTGTCAAGATTCTCAGTCATTAAAAGTATAGATATTAGAATAGCTCTGAATATGGTCATAAGCTTTACCAGATTTACACCAAATTCATTATTGCCAAGGTTACATACTAATACAGAGCAGTCACTTGCTGATCAGCTGTTCACCTCAATAGACGTCAAAACGTAATGGATGCTCGTGAAATAGGAATTATAGAATTATGTCAGGTTTCTTCACTCAATCTAACTTAATCTAATCTGCGAGAGAGCAATTGTGAAAAGTAGACTTTTGTTTTGATAATGCCACAATTCATGATAATCATTAAATACATTGACGACGTTTCCTTGGACTGCGCTTGAAATATCCTTCTGTACCGATCCTCCAAAAGAGTATTGATGGATTATTATGCCTATATGCGCCTTTTTGTACCCTTAGGCAAGAAATCAAATGTGTGCTAGGTACAGAAACAGTGCGCCGTGACACCAGGTCACTCAATATTTGTTTGAATAAAAGTTCTGTCAAACATCACCTTCGACGGTAGGTATCTCTCCTGAATGAGACTGGACGTATAAGTTTTTAAAAGCTAAGCTACTTTTTGTACTCCTAGCCCGAGAAACCGACATTATTTAACGCATACATCTAAGAAGAAGTTAGATTTTCACCTTAAGTAAATGTTGATACTGAAAAAACCCTAAGTAAATAATAAATGTGTGCATTAATGTTGAGCATCCTTGGCTTGTTGGGCAGAGAAATACCACAATCCATTTCTAAATATTTCTTATAACTATTGTTTACTACAACAAGTTAATGCGTAGTCTATTTTATAACTGAAATTATTGTTGTTGATCGTAATTATTTATCCCATTATTTTGATAGCTTGATAGTCCCATGATACTCGATAAATTGGAACATTTAGCAATGAGTAAGAAACGAATTATGTGTTGACGTACATAGCATCTTCTATCTTTATTGGATTTACAGTTCTCTGACACAGACATTTATTAGGAAAGTGTTACCGGATGTTCACAAAATACTCAGATATGCTATACTTCAAAGTCTAATAAAATGCTTATAAATGTGGTATATCATAGTAGTGAAAAAATAGTTAAAGTAGTTAAAAAGATGATAAACATTCCTCGGCGCAAAAGGCCATTTTTGGCCAAGAACTTTTTTTAATAGGTGCGTATTCTTCCAACAGGCCATGTAATGTATTAACATCTGTCCAACCAGCCTGGTGAGTTTAAGTCAAATAACTTGATATTTTTATGAGCTACTTGGTTTGACTTTTTTTATTGTTCCACTTGATCTGAGGTGAAGCATTTTCAAACCACTTGATACTTTATGGCAAACTATATTTTTGTTCTACTAAAGACATTAAGGGACAATTTCACCAACATGAATATTATGCACCAATGGGAAAATACCTTATCGAAATGAAATTTGACGGAAGCTGTCAAAGGTCTCTGAATATTAGTCATTTCTATTGAAATATTGAATAAAATCGTGAAAATTCGACTGTATTATAAACAAGACAACTTTTTGATTCCAACATGATGCTTTTGTACAGAAAAAACAGGACAACTTTCATGTATTTTGATATATGTTATAGGTTTACATTTACCAACTTCAATATACTGAAAGTTATCATTACATACCTGTTGAATAGTGTGGATTTGTCTGTATTTTGCAAGAAAATAGAATATAAAATACATTCCATCCAATTCCTCATCTTCCTTGACGTCATAATAGTAATCGTTTATTAATTTATGGGATAATGAATTTCTTCAAAGCAATAAAAACATTATGTCCTCTCCAACCTAAAACACAGATAATATGTGTAAGACGTGTCAATCCCTACATCTCCCTGATGCATAATGCAATTACTATGGACATAGACAAAAAATTATGAAAAATGTTTCACAGATAATGGCTTTTAAGTCCAAAAATCAAAAAAACTAGTAATGTTTATTGTTTGCACAAACACTGTGACATATGATTTATAGCAAAACGCGCTGCCCTATCAATACAAAGTTAACATACAGGTCGCCTAGCCGTGGGGAGGCAGTGGTCGGGATGAATATCACGGCAGCAACTGATGATTTGGGCATGTCTGGTAACAACGTATCTAGTGAAACTCGCTAACTTCACAAATTTGAAGATTTTGTACAATTTCTTTGAAAATGATGAAAGATATGTCTGATTTGGTAGGGTAATTTCGCAGCCAAATGGCAGCCACCCTTTCTGAGACAGTCCGGATCGAAAGATGACGATACTCGTGAAATGTATTGATACTTAAATATAGGATCGTATCGAACATCCCTACTGTCAAGATGTATAACCCAAGGTACCGATGGAGCTATTTTGCGGCGTCATGGAAATAATTTTAAATTTTCATTTGCATTTTTTCAAGTGTTATGCAATGATTTTGGGAAAAATGTCACTAACAGTCTTATAAAGCATAGTAGAGTATATTTCAACAGTTGGCGGAACTTACTCCACTGGGACCAGGAGGGTGAAACGGGATATTAATGCACAATCTGGCAACCCTGTCGCACCCTCACAAAATGGCCGCTGACAACCACACAACTCACCGTGTTGTCATTGAATAGCATGGAATTAAACCTTCAGAGTATATGTTTTGTGACTGGTACCAAGAGTTGACAGATCCCACATATGTGTCACTCCTTGAAATGCAATAATCAGCTGTATTCAAATAATGTCTAATATAAATATAACCTAGAATGTGTACTCGTGAAAAAAGAAAAATATGTAGTTTTTTGTAGGTTTCAGGTTTGATGGTAGCTTTAAGGCGTATATTTGGGAATTTATTAATCGCTCTGAATATAGTGTGGATGTTTGTTCAGTTCCTGAACAACGAAAAATATTCAACTTTATGGATGTATGGATATCAAAAAACCTTAATGGTTTTGTGGGAATATCAATCTAAGTTGCCATAATGGTTCTGATGAACGGCAAGCAAATGAATGAATGTTTGGAAACGAGCAATATCTTTTGGTAGAGCCTGTCATCAAGTAGGTGCTTAATGGTTATCTGCAAGAAGTTTATAGGAAAAAACACCCAGTATCACATCAATTGAAGAAAATAATATAAACATGAATAAAAAAACAACAATAGGAAATTAAAACATGAATTTAATTCAAAAATCAAATATTTCTTAAAATTTTGACTGAATTATATATAATTTCTTAATATTCAATAAGCTGCTGATGTTTCAATGACAAGTTGTCATCTCATAATTTGACAGTATTTTGGTTTCAACATTTCATAGCTATTTGTTGCTAAAATTTGTTGATTGGAACTTGAAGCTGTATCTGGCGGTCTGTTACCCTATAGGTGGAGAATAACGGACTGTTGTTGGTGAAATTGGGCCTTAGTGATATTTATTTGTTCAACGGATAAGCCGTATTATGTATTTTAGTGGAAATAATCACGAGTAGTGGAAAAGGCACGAAAATGTATTCCCAAATCTAGTTTTAAACATCAGCGCTTATTGAGAGGGAATTTTCTAGGGCTGCACTGACAGATTAGGCAATAAGTCCGTTGGGGCCCTCATGGTTGGCAAATGATAATCTAATTAGAATTTCTAATTTTTTTACATCAGCTGATGAAGAAATGCTTTTTTCCTATTTGAATTTACAGTTTTATCATTCTATTATTTGTTACGCAATGAACAAATAATTTTGTCCAATATGAATTGTTGTCTCTGACAAAGTTACACAAAGACAAGTTGTTTATTTATAATCTACTCAAACAAAAATTATCAAGTAATATCAAGACTCATTGAATTGTCAAGTAGTTGGCGTAAGAACTACTTGACTTGATTTAAATTACTAATATTTAATGCTTAGCTTAAGCTTGCCTT